TGTGTCTATGGGTGTGTCTGTGTCTGTGTGAAACAATAATTAAGGAAGGGGACATAAAGTTGAAAGGGAGGTAGGGGCATGGGAGAATTTGGAGGGGGATGTAGGGTAGGGTGATGTAAATACAGTGTTCATGTATAAAATTATCAAAAAAATTTTTTGAAAGATTCTTTAGCAACAGCAGATGCTGGAATATAAGCTCCCAAGGACAAGAATGTTTGTGTGACTGGCTACCTGATGCATTATTACTGCTTAACTTAGTAGCACATACAATAAACACTGAGTATGTAATGGATAGATGAAATAAAGGTGGTGCTTTGTGTCCTTCTTCCCTCTCTCTCCCCATTATTTCTAGACAATCTCATCCAAATCCACATTTGAGTTACTTCTCGTCTGTAGCTGTTACTCCAAAATCTTTATAATCTGTTTTTCTTCAGTATTTGCATCATTGTTAGATGTCTTGCCAATACTAAAAATTAGCACATCTCAAACAAACATTCTTATTTATCTTTTATTTTAAAACTGCTCGTTATGTTTTTTCTACTTTTTTTAAAAACAATTTTATTCAAACACCAAGGTAGAAACACCAGTCATTATTGATTTTTCTTTTCCTATCACCCACTATGAGTGCCACTTCCACAGTATTGATTACATGTGCTCTTAACTCCCTATCCCCACAATCATTGTCTCTTCTCTACTCTTGAGCCTTGGATCCCAACTTCCTCTATGCCTGTGCTGTGCATCTTGATCAGGAACATAGACTTTTCTCTGAATCATCTATGTTTTGGATCCCTGCTTCCACCAGCGTGGTGGCACAGGCCTTTAGTCCAAGCACTCAGGTGGCAGAAGCAGGTAGATCTCTATGAGATCAAGGCCTTCCCGGTCTACACTGCAAGTGTCAGGCCAGCTGGGGTTACAGAGAGACCCTGCCTCAAAAACACCAAAAAATAAAAAAATTAGCAAGCCTTCTTTCAATCCCCTAGGCTAGAAATGATCACTTTTAACTTACATACCTACACCATCAAGTACAGCACATATTATAGTGTCTTTTTTTAATAAATAATTTATTGAAAATTTCATACATGCATACGAGGTGTTTTGATCAAATCCATGCCCACTTTCTCCCCTCCAACTCCTCCCATATCTTCCCATCACTTTTTTCTGATAACTTCATGTACTCTTTCTTCTTCTTTGATTTATTATTTTTTTATGGGGCTTTTCCTACTCTAAAATTCCCTCCTCTGAAGAGGTAACCCTAAAGTCTTTTAAGGATTACATAAAAGCTCCCAAACATTTTCGACATTTTTGGTCTTTGGAACGGAGTAGGTTGCTAAGAGGCCCAAGGACATTGTGAGTTTTAGCCAAGAAACTGACTACTTTTCTTTGGGGTCTTTTTACCCTAACTGCCTAGCCAATTCCTACCTCCTATTCTTATCACACCATCCTCTGAAGAGGTTACCCAAATTGCCAATAGGGAATTGGGATGCAGACCACTTTGGCTTCTTCCATGCTGAACAGGGACAAAGGGTGAGGCAACTGGGGTACCCCTTCAGTGGATCTATCTAAAAGATTCTCAAATTGCATAACTCTTATCTGTAGGGGGAAAAGAAAGTCCTTGACTGGTGGATAGGAGAGGTGAAGAAGTAAAGGCAAGAGTAATTAGCATTACAAGTTCTAGACAGGGAACTAGAAAAAAGTCAGAACAGGGCAATTTTCAAATGTTCATATGAGAGTATCCATTGGAGTTTCTTGACAAGGGCTTCCAAAGCATCCCTCTATTGGGCTCCTCCTCGTTTTTCTTTTGTCTTCCAAGGCCAGACTCTAGAGTGATGGATTCAGATTTGCTTTCAGGTATTTTGATAGCACCACGTGGAGGCAGGATTCAGGGGCTCTAAGGCAATCCCCTGCATTCTCAGCCCCTATGGCAGAAGGAGACCAGAGGGAGACCAGAAATTGGCACTCTCTGATGGTCTGCTGAGATCAGAGCTGCTACACCAATGGAGGCTGAAACCCACCCTCTCATAGTGTCTTAACATGGAACCTGACATATGATAAACAATAGGTGTGAATCATTTTATCATTTGAAAACTTATCTACCAAATCCAGTGTAAACTTCTTGGTGGCATGGTCCTCCAAATAGGCCTCCAGAAAGGTGTACCAAGCTTAAGATAACAGAGACTCAGAGAAGTCTGATATCCAGAATGCTAGCCAACTTAATATCTAATTCATCGGAAGAATCAGCTAGAACAAATCTTATGATTGAGTCCAGTAAAAGGAAAACATTATTTAATCATTAAAGGAAAACAAATATAAAGCACATTGCAATCTAAAAATAAATTATAAAATCCTTGGTAGATAATTTTTATATTATAATTCAAAACTGCTCATCTAGAAATAATGCTAAAAGATAACTGATAAGTGAAGAAAATGATAATTTTGCTGCTCTTACACATATTTTAGAAGTGACTTTGCTTGAAAAGAATTAACAAGGTAATGATGTTTATATAACTTCATAGTACATTACTCAAAAGATAGTCACAAATTTACAGACAACTGCTAAGTACATGCTTGTATCAGAAATCCAAAGCCGTAGGCAGCCCTGAACTTCATTGGAAGACCTGATTTGGCATCTTATCTCTGTGCCTAGCTATGAAACAATGAACACATCACTGTTTTTTACATTATTGGGTAATTTATAAACAGAATGTGAAACAATGATTCTTACCTATTAGAGAAGGTGGTTAAAAGGCTCATGGAAGACAGGGTAGGTAAAAACACAATGGAGACTCCATTTATTATCATTTATTCTTTCAAAAACTGTCTATTATCTATGTATAAACTTTGTGCCAGTCTGTTTATACAATGCCAAGTAAGATGTGCCGCTTGTGCTTAGCAGCTTAGAAGCCAGAGGGGAAGGAGCAAGCAATTGAACTACGTTTGACAACACTGAATGGAGGAACATGGACAAATCTGGTGAAGAGGAAAGAGGACTCAGTGCTGTCAGAAGGCCAAGGAAGCTCACTAGGAATAGCTCTGTGCCAAGTGGCTCTGGGAGTTTGGCACTCCTGAGGCTTCCCCTCGCTCTTTAATCAAGGAGTATGCATATTTTCATATTTACTTAGAGTCTACTGTTTTGGGATGTTTTTTCTTTTAATCTATAATTTTTTTTCTTTTTTGGTCTTTTTTTGAGACAGGGTCTCCTTGTAGCCCCAGATGGTCTTGGAATCTATGTAGACCAGGCTGGCCTTGAACTCACAGAGATAGATCCGCCTGCCTCTGCCTCCCAAGTACTAGGATTAAAGGCGTGCCCCACCATGCCCAGCTTAATCTATAATTCTCAGATCTAGAAAGTCTTGAAATTCATACTTTTCTCTAACTCGGTGGCAAAACCAGAGCTGAGCTGTATGAGGCTTTCCTACTTCAGAAACCCTGAATACTTTCATGACCCATCTGTCACCTATTGCCAGAAATTGCATCATCATTGGCTTCTTTTTCTTTCTTCTTCCAAAGCCAACTGGTCACCAAACCCTATCGATTCTAGCCCTCAAACATTATTATACTGGACATTCTTAGCACCCCACTCTTCCTGTGAGTACCTCAGCTAAGGCCGTCATTACCTCAAACATGCCGTTACCATCATCCACTGTCTCAGCCTCTAGCAGTGCTCCTCATGGAGTTCAGGCCCCAAGTCCTGGCCAGCTTGGTCCTTCTCAGATGGATGTCTGAGCATGTTGCTCCCTTGCTTAGAATATTCTAATGTCTCTGTACTCTCTGGGTAAAACTAAAATTTCTGAACTTGGGGCAAAAAATTTGGCTAGACATACCATATCTCTTATGATTTGTCTCCTGGGACTCTTAAGAAACATAAAACGTGGTTCCTAGGAAGCATATATGACTTTGTTTTGTCTTTCTTCACGCACCTCAACCTCTTGTTCCTGTTTACCAACCTGCCTTACTTAGTAGCTTCATATCCAATAGAGACAACCTCATCATGCATCCTGCCTTTCCCCAATTCCAGGGAGTACTGATGGTGGCTGCTTTGTAGACTTCTGGATGAGCTTAAAGTCTATGTGGCCAGCGGGCCAGATATCCAGGAGTACTGGGGTCACTGTTATCCCAGTAACCTTTTGAGTAGGCACTCAAAAGCTTAGTTGAGTACTTCCACCTTTCCCTGAAAATCTCTTACCCTACTTATTCCTGATGCTGATCCCATCTCAGACTTTTCTTCATCTACAACTATTTTTCAATTATTTTATTTAATATATGCTCTGCTTCCCTGCCTCATTCTCAGAAGAAATAAAGGAAATATTATGGGGAAATGAAAGCTCTATGCCAGGGCTTCCCAACTTCACTGCTGATGGCATTTTGGACTAGCTAACTCCTTGCTGTGGGAGCTGTTCAGTGAACCAGAGTGTTCAGTGGTATCACTGGCCTCTGCCCAGAAGCCAGCAGCATCCTCTCCCAGCTGTGACAGCCAAAATGTCTCTATATACTGCCAAGGTCCCTACCTTCCACATGGGACAAAATATCCGCTGACTGAAAAAAAATCACTATTTTAAACGGACACAGAAATTTAATACTATTAAGCCTTCTTCAAATCTTTTTAGAAAGAGAATATTTAAAGTTGAAATAAATGTACTACTGAAGCACTAATTACAAACTGACCAGAGGGGAGGAGCCACATCAACAGCACAGGAAATTAGCAAGGCTGGGGGGCAAAAAGCAGAAAGAGGGGCTGGAGACATGGCTCAGCAGTTAAGAACACTGGTTGTTCTGGCACAAGACCCGGGTTCGAATCCCAGCACCCACATAGCAGCTAACAACTGTCAGTAACTCCAGTCCCAGGGGATCCGACAGCCTCTTCTGACCTCCGAGGGCATGCACCGCATAGGTGCAATTACCTATATGCAGGCAATACACGAATACACATAAAATAAAAATAATAAATAAAAAAAATTTTTTTTTAAAGCAGAAAGAGACAAGAGACTTGGTCCAGCACCCACCTGTGGTTGACACAACGTTCTCTGGGCTTTCACTGCAGAGCTTGGACAACAGACTGGTCTTCCCAGAGCCTGTGAGGCCTATGCACACCAAGTCATACTCTGGACGTGCAGGTGGTGGTCCCTTGCAGCAAAGTGCTCGAAAACACTGCCCAAAGAGATAGAAGCAGGGAGACAAACTTAATAACACTTATAATGACTACACAAGTATCAAGAAGTAACTAAGTTCCCTATTGCTTGAAAGGAGGGAAACAGTAACTTTAGGTGGAAACACCTGGCCCACAACACCTTAGCAAAGCAATGAAGGCTACCATCACCAGTCATAAGACCTGTCTACATGGCTTCTCTTCCAGCTATGGCAGGATCATGAGGCACAGTGTCCTCACAGCATCCTACCAATATGTATCACCTGAACCTACCCATGAAGAAACCAGATAAAGCCAATCTAAGGAGTATCCTATATAATGCCAGAACTGTTATTTTTTTTAAAACACCAATGTCTAAAAGTCAAAGACTAAGGAACTGCTCCTGGTTAAGAATAAGAAGACATGATATGAAATGCAACACATTTTAGATTAGATCCTGAATCAGGAAGAAAAAAGTGCCATAAATGACATTATTGGGACAACCACGAGGACTGAATATAGACTGCATATTAGATAACAGTGTTGCATAAGGTTAAATTTCCTGAATTAAGTAACTGTGCTGTCATTATGTAAGAAAGTCGTTGTTCTGAGAAAACACACACTCAAGTACTTAGAGGTGAAGGGTCTTGAAATCTGCAATTAACTGGCTCAGAAAAATTCTAAGTCTCCTACCTCCATCTGGTGAGGTTGGATAAAGCAAACATGGAAAAACGCAAACTGTTGAAGCTAGGGAAGAGTCCATTCAGTCACACAAGGGGGGGGGATTGAACCCAGGGCCTTGCACATTCTAAGCAAACAACGTACCACAGAGCTATATTCCCAGCTCTTAGTCTTCTAAATTTTGATGTCAATTCAAAAGAAAAAGATTCTTTAAAATCATTAAAGAGTTCATGGTGCATCTCTGCCTTCACAACCTTTGCTAAATCCTATCAGGTGAACTGACCTCAGGGTGCTATGAGCTGTAGTATAGTTTGTGAACTACACAAACTTATTTGATCTACAAGACTGAAGGCAAGGGGATTGGAGGTATAGGATATCATCACGAAGCATTTGATATCTCTATGTATGTAACACCACTTAAGGTGCATGGGCCAGCTTTTGTAGCACCTGAAATATCTCCAATATTCACATTTGTATGAACACTGATTCATATAAGAGAAGAAAAAGGGAAAGTTGGGAAGGAGGAAGGCAGACTACTCTCTTCTGCTTATCTGGAGGCCATAAAGGAAAAGACCTATAAGAAGCTTGTGTTGATTCTTCTTAGTCAGAGAAAATCGAGTCCTACTTGGCTGCCACACTCTCACAAATCAAGTTTGATTGTTTCTCTTCCTCATTTCTTGCAACTGATCAAGTCTAGTCCATAGACTTCTGAAATAGCTCTAGAGTCTATTTGCTTCTCTTGAGCCTAGGCTGTGAACAGCAGGACATCAATACTCTCCCACTGGTTCCAGTAATATTTATCCTTGCCCTCTGCTCTCCACAGCACCCACTGTAAATGCTTCTAAAGAAAATCCAATTTTATATCCTTACTCTGCCTCAGTGACTTGTCCTGGTTCTTGAACCCAAACCTTATCACAGTCTATAAGGCCACCTGGCACATGTTCCAGCCAACACCATCAGCCTCTTGGTCATCATTCTTTCCAAGCCTTCTTGAGCCTCTGTTACTTGAAGCCCTTGCCCATGCTGTTCACTCGTCGAACCGTGGGCTTCGCCAACTCATCAGTTCCTGGGTTTCGGCTTACCCACCCCTTCCTCAGAGCAGACGGCTCGGATCTAAGCCTGCATTAGCAACTGATGTCAAGCTCTCACAGCATGTTTGCAAATTCATCATACAGACAATTACAGTTTCTTATTCACCACCAGACTGTGGGAACCACGTGTGTCCAATTTTGTCTCAGTAGCCCTAGTTCCTGGCAGCACACAGGGCACAGAACCTACCCCCAATAAATCACTGTTGGACGGAGAATGAATGACATTTAAATTCCAGCTAAAAGAGAGAAATGAAAGCACAAAGGCTGATAGGATGCTTGATCCGTGCTCTCTGGCCCCCCTTATGTTTCAAGAAAATAGTGTCAAAATAAGAGAAACCCTTGACTTTTCCACTTCACTTCAAATGCCAGAAGTTAGCCAAATACCCAAAGACTTGTTTTGATGTACAAGATCTACTTTCTCAGTAGACCAGAGCTTCTTTTTGTCCTAAATTCATTTTCCTCCTGGTTTTAAGAGGTTCTGCAGACTTCCGGAAAAAAAAATTTTATGATCCATATTCTACACAGATTTATTAAATTCTAATCATATTGCCTCTCAGTCTTTTCAAGCCTGAGGAGTCCTAATTATTTCAGTCTGTCTTCCTATGGTTACCCCTCCTACCCCTTCATCTGTTGCTCTCCTTCAGCCTTACTTTAGTTCCATTATGCCTTCTCCTTCAAGATTAATGACCACAACAGTAAACAGCCTTCTATATGCCAACACATCATATTCTGGACTCATACAAAGACTGGCTCACACTGTCTGCAAACTTTTTTCTCATCCATGAAGAAGCATGGCTCTTAGACCCATGAGGAGTTTTTCCTAGAGACAGATCTGTGTTCATGCATATGTATTCCCTCAAGGATGACCAACGGCCAGCAGCTGTTCACAGTAAGAGGGGTCATCTTCCACGTTTAGCTATGGCAGAAAACACTACTCACATAGACTTGCTGGGTTGCTCTGGTCTTTGTTGGGACAAACAGGAAGACTGTATTTCTGCTCTAGATACCACCATCCCCATCTCAGTTCCTCTGCACCATCTCCTCAAAGGCAGTATCCCACTACCATTGATCAAATTACCATAATACTCAAATACAAAGTGAAGTATGGGTGGCTAGTGAGATGCCTCAATGGATAAAGGTGTTTGCCACCAAGCCTAATGACCACAGTTCAATCACTGGAATCCACAAAGCAGAAGGAGAGAATGGACAAGTTATCCTCTAATGTCCACATGCATGCTGTGGTGTGTTCATCCCTCCCTTGAGTAAATAAAGCAATGTATTCTTTTTTATAATATTTTATTTATTTTTGTGTGAACAAGCATTTTGTTTGCATGTATGTAGGTTCACCACATGCATGCAGTGTCCGTGGAGGCCAGAAGAGGGCACTGAATCCCCTGGAACTGGAATCACAGATGGTTGTTGGCCATATTGTGGGTGTTGGGAACTGAGCCCAGGTCCTATGCAAGAACAACCAGTGCCGTTAACCACTGAGCCATTTCTCCAGCCCCATATTTTTGTTTTGCTTTGTTTTGTTTTTGGTCTTTTTGAGACAGGGTCTTCCTATAGCCCCAGCTGGCCTAGAACTTGCTATGTAGACCAGGCTGGCCTTTAACTCACAGAGATCCACCTGCCTCTGCTTCCCAAGTTCTGGGATTAAAGGCATGTGCCACCATGTGTGGCCCAGCCCCATATCCTTAAAGAACAAAATGAAATATGTGATTGTCATATCACCGTCTTTAAATTATTTACTAACCAGTATCATTCATTCAACATATTTTGTCCCAAAGTTTCACAGTTTCACCTTCATGTTCTCTTTAATCCCGAATACAGCAACTTTATACCCAAGCCCATCAATATCTACAGCATTTACTCCAGGAAACCTCAGACACTTCTGACACAAACAACAATTTAACAATAATGTTCTACCTCTCTTCTCCCTACATTCGTCACAGTGATGTCAGTCCCACTCCCATGGCTCGGGTCACACAGACTGCAATGGCACCATCATGACAATTCCCTGTGTACATGCCCACCAGTGTCCCAAATCCTCAGCTCTGTAGTCTCAACTGTTCCAAACGAATCCAAACTAAATCTGAATGAAGGAAAAGTCTCACCTCTCTCCAAAACTCAGACTAGGAGAATACGGCATTTTAGTAAATAAATGCTAGACTAACATTTCTTACAAGACAGAATCTTTAAAATAAATGAATCCTAGGAGTAAATATTTATTTATAAGTACATAAAATAAATATATGTATTTGAAATGAATCTTATGGTTAATAGGAAAAGTACCAGATTTTGAGCTAACAGAATTTTTAAGTGTATGCCATTTCAAATTGAGGAGGAATGTTCATGGTTTTTTTTGTCAGCTCCTAAAAACTGTACAGAGTTTCCATTTGTTTCTTGTTTTAAAACTTAATGAAGCTTTGGATCTTATAGTCAATTTACTTAAAATTACTCAGTTTGGCCTCTAGACTATACTGTACCAAAGTTCATTGTGTTTGTCTCTGACAGCAGCTCTTGCATTGTTAAGAGTAAGCCCCTTTCACTGCTGTACAATGCAAGACACAATGCTGTCGGCAGTCCTGACGGCCAGCGGCAAACTCAGGCTTCATTCCCAGGCCAGACACTGAGGCATTGTGTGACTCTGCTCGAGCCCCATAAACCTATCCATGCTTCAGCTTCCCCATGATTAACCAGTAACTTTAACACTCTCTGCCACTTCCTTTCTTCAGGAGGATGTTGGGAGGCATGGGTTCAATGCTTTATACTCCTAAGAAAGGCGACAGACGGGCAAATAACTGTTCATCATGATGCTCATTTTCCTAAGGTATCTTGGCTGCTAGTTAGCTTCCTTGGGCAGGGGTCTGGCAACGTGATACACAGCCCAGTCTGGAGCCCTTTCTATCAGCACACAGCAGCCCCAGGATCATAACTCCACCTCAGTTCAACCCAAGATGCTGCACACAAAACCCGGGGTCCTATGAAGCAGGAAACAAAGAAGAGAGTCAGTCTGAATTGTAATTGCACTCTCTGGGGGGGCAACCATCTTCTTGGCCTCCCTTGCCCAGACTATTTCAGTTCACCAGCCTTTTCCCACAGGGTTGGCTATGACTTGTTCATCTTTTGTGGGAAGAAAGGTGAACACATGTCTTTGGAATGAAATAATCAGCAACAAGTAAAACTGTAAGGGTAAAGTGAGGGCTTGCCTTCTAGTCTGGCAGCCCTATACCAAGACAGTAAGAGAGTGT